GTCAGCTCACCTCCTGCCCCCCAGTCTTGCCGAGGAGGCCACTTGGACGCAGGACAAGGGGTGGGGGTACAGCCCCTCCCATGAGCCAGACGCATTGATGGTGGCTTTGCGGACATCAGCCCACTTGAGTCTCCCGGGAACCCCTCATGTGGTCGTTACTGTCACCGCTTTATAAATGAACCCTGGGCTCAGAGAAGTGTGGTGGGTTGCTGGGACCCCTATGGCAGCCAGCTTCCAGATGGCCCCCGGTGACCCCCACCACCTGCCGCAGCTTCTCGCCCCATGCCACCAGGATCAGGCTTTGTAACCCGTTCAAGGTGGCATGTTAGTGAGTATAGAAAGACTGTGGCTTTCCACGTGGGTGCTGTCTCTCTCCTGGATCAGTCACCCCGGGTGAGTAGATCGTGCTGGGAACAGCCCTGGGGAGACCCCCACACAGCATGGAACCAAAGCCTCCAGCCACATAAGTGACCCTGGAAACAGAACCTCCATCCCAGTATGTTCTCAGAGATGAATGATGCCCTGAGTCAGAAACACCCAGCTCATCGATGCCTGATTCCCAACTCTCAGAAACCACGTGAGACCATAAATGCCACTGTTTCAATCTACTACACTGGGGGCCTGTTATGCTGCAGTATATAACAGATGCAATCTATATGCTGGGCAGTGACGAGGCTGCGACAAAACCCCGGCTTGAACCTGGGTCTCCTGGGGCTGCACCCCCAGCTTACCCTGGACCAGCAGCCCTGTCTCTTCCAGAATCTCACCCCCAAGTCCCTTAGAAGTCCCCAGGTGCCTTTGAAGTTTGTCATGAAGTCTCCTAGGCTGTTGGAATTGCTGGCCAAGGGGGGTGGCCCCACACTTTTTCCTTACTTCAATCAGTCATATTTTTCTAGATGTTTGACTATTCCAGCCTCAGTTTACTTCAAGGAAGCTTAAGGCAAGCATGGGTTTCTGCCCATGGGGCCGTGGCGATGTTCCAAGTCAGCCCAGAGCTAAGTTAGGTTGAAAAGATGCTGTGGGGTCATGGATGCTGGCCCCCAGTCCTCTCTCATCAAGCCCACGCTCCCGCCAAAATCATTTGTCTTCCTGGTCAGAGAATCCCTGTTGTCCTGCTTGAGGGAGGGTCTGAGCATCACCATCCCACCGGCCAACAGTTATGTGACTTGGGCTCTGAGCCTCACTTCCTCATGGGTGCCTCTCGGGATTGGGGAAGATGAACAAGGAAGTGCCCAGCAGGCCTCTGATCGCAGCAGGGCTCCCCACCCTGATCCCCCACCCCCATCCAGCTCTTACAGCTGCTCTGACCCCTGGACACATTCCAACCTGGAGGACTTCATGTTTAGGTTAAAATCAGGCAATGTGAATTTTGGGAACAGGGCTCCCTTTCAGTAGCAGAAGTTCCCAATGCAGCAACTCTGGGGCAGCATATAATTAAGGAATCTAGTACCAGCAGAAATCCTAGAGCTTTCTCTTGATTTTGCAGACCTCACACCGTCGACCACCCTTTGGCATAGGGGTTTCGATGTCGGGAGAACAGGGCACTGAGGTCAAGACAGGATTGAGGTCAGACGCCAGCTCTAGAACCTACAACTGCACAGGACAAAAGTCTTAGACACCTGGGTTCCAGCTCTGCCTTTGCTGTGTGGTCCTGGGCAAGGACCCCTCTGAGCCTCGAGTTCCTCATCTCTAGAACAGGAGCAGCAATGTTACCTACCACGTGGGTTTACTGTGGCATGAAATAATGAATGCAAAGGACTGAACACAGTGCCTGGCACGGAGCTGGTAGCCATCAGCGGTCACTAGCGTGGTCCTTAGCTTGTGGGTGGTGGCCTTGGGCAGGTGTCTTAAATTTCCTGGGATTCAGGTAACTACTCTGGGGAATCAAGACTGTAAGGGCCAGGTGTCAGCTGGGTGGTGTCCTGCCGAGGCTCCAGGGAGGAATCCACCCTGGTCCTTCCCAGCCGGCGGGGACACCCATGTTCCTGGGCCTGTGGACTGCCCCCTCCCCCATCTTCAGAGCCAGCAATGGCTGGCGGGACCTTCCTGCCACATCTGACCCTCCATCCCTGGTCTCCACTCCCCCTGAGTTCTCTGCTGACAAGGACTCATGGGACAGATGGGTCCCACCTGATGACCTGGGGTAACCTCTCATCTCAGGGTCACGTGTGCCAGAGCTGATGCTTAGTCAGCACTGCCTGCGGCTGGATTTGGTGGAGCTGAGGCCATGGCGTCCCTGACCATCCTCTGAGCCCCTGCCATGTGCCTGGCACATTCACTGTCTGAGTTTGAATCCAGACTGCACCACTCCTTGGTCCTGTGAATTTGGGCCCCAGGTCAAATCACTTCAGCTCTCTGAGCCCCAGTTCTGCATCTATAAAGTGGGTATAACAACGGGACTCCCGTCTCCCCTGCAAAAGAGATGACATGAAGCACAGACGAACGCATGGGTCTGACACGGTAACACGTGCACATGCAGCCCGGGGACAGTCCCACATGGCTCAGTGTTGCAGTTTCATTATTGTGTCAGTTGTCCCAACAACACTGAGGAGTAGCATTGCCCCCCAGATACACATGTGGTTCAGAGACAGCAGCCCAGTCCTGGGATGCACAGCCAGGGAGCTTTCTCCCCCCCGACACTCTGTCCAGGGTCATGAAGAACTTAGCCAGTGAGTGCCCCACCGGCAGGACCCACCCAAACAGCATCTGCCTTCCTCCTGTTGCATCGGAAGCATAAAGTGCCGTCTGCAAAGGGGATGGGGGAGGCCTGGGGCTCCCAGGAAGGGTGCTGAGAAACTGTGGGGGGTGGGGCACAAAGCCCCACACATTCTTTGGCTTATCTCAGCCACTGTAGCAGGCCAGGCTGGGCCCCTCTGGATTCTAGAATCAATCAGATGCCCTATGATGTCTCTCCTCCCTCCGTTCCCTGGGACCCGAGGCACTTGTTGGGTGGTGCTGCTGGGGAGGAAGGGACGCCCTAAGACTTCTGTAGGCCAAGCTTGAAACCCGCTCCAGCACATGCTAGCTGTATGACCTCGAGCTAATTCCTTAACCTCCCTAGACCCGCATGTCCTCATCTGTACCATACCCTCACGCTGATGTGGGGGTGAAAAAGATCAAAACAGAGTGAGAATACTGGAAATCACGGTGGGCTATGTGCACCTGCTGCAAAACAAAACCAAAAAAGGGGCAAAGCAAATGATCACTTATTGAGAACTTATGTGCCAGACACGGCTTTGCCGACACTGTCCGATTCATGCAGTTAACTCCATTTCTTCAGAGATGAAATCAGAGCTCAGAAAGCTTAAAAACTGCTTTAAGAGCTAGAGGTCGCAGAGCCTGGAGATGAACCAGTACCCACCGCCCTGGGCTTGGCCTCATTTGCAAAAAACGGCATTCTGAGTCTCGTGTTCAATGTAACATTTGTTATTTTATTTGAAAAAGCTGGTATTAACATATTTATAATTTTATTCAACAGTTGGATAATCTGAGATACCGAAGAAAACCAGAATGCACCCATGAGCTATAGAATCCAAAGTGATTAGGTCTGTCTACCTACCACCACATACCCAACGCCACCAAGAGCTCAGTCCTTGGAGTATTAGAATAAAAACAGAATGACCCAACAACTTCACAATGACTATGTGAACGCTCATACATTCAAGAAGAGCAGAAAATTTAAACAGAGTAAGAAGCAGAGTGACTATCTTACTGGTCCATCTCTGTGACTAGTCTTGCCCCTCCCCCCCAACATGTGTCATTATTCACAACTTGCTTTGGACATCATGATTTTCAGGGATCTGAAGACATGCTTTTCCTCTAAGATCATTTTCTTTCTTTCTTTTCCTTTTTGGTTTGGTATCCAAAGTGTAAAAGAGGAGTAAAGAACCAGGAACTGTATTAAGACCTTCCTTTGAACGCAGTGTTAAGAGGCGTACTCTGTAGATAGTGTGAACTCTACAATCTGACAGTAACCTCCAGCTGCAAAGGCAAAGTCTTCTCTTAGTGTCTGAATCACAAAGGGAAATGGATTGTGCCAAATATCCGTGTAATTGTGTAAGGCCCTCAGAGCTGGATTTTGGCTTCAACGAGATTTCTATACAAGGTACCACATTCTTGAACCTCTTTACAAAGGAAGAAAAAAAGGAATCCAATCCCGTGATTGTTAATTTTAATTAGAATAGATTATGTACATATAATACTGTCCAGGTCACCTGGATTTTACAGTGATAGAGAAACAAACATTCTTCATTCATGTTGATTTGAAAAACAAAAATAAAAAACAAAATGAAACAATGGACCCATTTCCTTGTGTAAATATCATATGGCTGGAAGTGAATGCACATGCGTTTTGTGCTTTGACACACACGACAGTATACCGCTGTCCACTGAGAAAAATCTCGGGTGGGTCTGTTTCCTGGGTTGGGTTACATCTTGTAAAAAAAAAAAATGTTGGCTTCGGGCTCCACGCTCTGTTCTCTGAATGCCACGCACAGCCAGTGGTTCACTGTAATCGCACGCGGGGAGGACGATTGGGCAGGGTGGGCAGAGCCGGTATCCACATCTGCACAGCAGGAGAACAGCATTCTCTGTGGCCCTCAGGAAAGAGTCCTCCGAGGCCAGGTCATTAACGAAAATGTATCTTGAAATGGTCCTAACATGCAAGTTCCTCCTGGAGGCAGCTCAGTGCACCCGAACGAGGGGCTGGGGTAGAGAGATGGGTGTAGCAAGGCACCCCCGAGGTGTCGGGGGGGTCTGAAGTCACCACACAGAGCTTGGCACCACCGGGGTCTTCTCCATTCTCCGTGCTGCGGCTCTGGTTGCCCTGCCGGACCCTCGTCATCACTCATGTGCTCTGTCGAGCCCCCCAAGATGAAGGGGTGTTTCCAGAACCTTCCACACAAGAACGCTGCTTTAACGTGAGTAGCCGACACGGTGAGTCAGAAAGCAGGTGGTGCGCGTGAAGGCCTGCTCAGGATTCCTGACTCTACCACTTGGTCGGTGCGTGCCTTGGACCAACTGTTCATGCTCTCGGGGCCCGCTGCCTCGTGTGCAGAACGGGAAGGACAATTCTTCACCGTTTGTCCCTGGCACCTGGCAAAGCCCAGCACTCAGTGAGGGGCTGGTGTAAGTGAACGGAGTAAGTGAACAGACACCCACCTTCCAGGGTCACAGACAGAGCCCTCGTGAGCTCCCACGAGGTGCCCAGTGACCCTGATGCGGGACAGCAGAGCCCCGTGGAGTGGGGACTGAATCCACGCACGCACCTAATGGGCCGAGCACCATGTCTGGCCCCTGGCCCACGCTCAGCAAAGGTTGGGGACATGGTGAGGAGGACAGGCACACGCACGGGGGGGTTTCACTGCCCCCCTCTCCTCTTCGGAAATGCCGGACCTGGGGTATTGAAAGACTTAAAACAACCTAAAAGAGCAGCTTGCACCTGCCAATTCTCAGCATGAATTCATGATTCAAAAAGCCAAGGAAAGACCCTCAGCTCTGAGACAGTGAAAATTGATCCACTGATAATCAAAAGAATCCCTGGCTGGCTTGTTTGAGTCCGTCCTCTGTCCCCAGAGCCCTGATCTGGGGCCCCCTGCGGGGGAGGGGTGTTCCCAGGGCGCCTGCTTCCCCTCAGAGTTGCTGCTGGAAGAAGTGAAGTGTGAGCCTGGAGAAGTCCAAGTCCTAATCGTAGAGCAGGCAGCACACGGTTAAGGATGGGAATGAAGGGCCAGGACCCCAAGGCAACCATCACGCCCATTTCAAGGTCGGTGGCTATGAACCCTCCTGACTCCTGTTTCCAAACAGAGAGCGTGGCCAGCAGAGGCAGCCTGGCTGGGCCGCTCGGTGGTCATGTCCCGGACGGGGCTCTGCGCCCACCTAGTGCATCTCAGAGTTCACCTTGTCCTGGAAGATGTACAGGTTGTTGGTGGCCGCGATGGCGATGATGTTCTCGGCCGGGTGCCAGGCCGTGTGCAGGATCTTCTTGGTGAAGTCCAGGCTGTCCACACTGATGTCGTCCCGCCTGCGCTTGCCGCCCACGCACACACGGCGAGGCTTGAGCACAGCCCGGGGCTTGCTGCTCTCCCTCGACGCCTCCAGGGTCACGTCCCGCTTGGTGTTCCGGTCAAACATGCGGAAGAAGTTGTTGTAGGCCCCGGTCATGATGACACTGGCAGGAGGAGGACGGGCGTCAGGCGGGGAGGACATGGAGGGGGGACACGCGCCACGTCTCCAGGGACAGACCCAGGGGCTGCAGGACCCCACCCCCCGGGGGGCAGAGATGGGTCCCAGTCCCCACCTCCCACCTTCATTCCTCGCAGGCTCCGCGGCCCAGAGTTAAGACCCCTTGAGACTCTGCCCAGACACCACGGAGAAAGTTCTCCTGTACTCTCCCTTTCTTCCAGGAGAGAGGCCTGGCCTCCCAGAGGGACGAGGCGCCAGCAGAGGGAAAGCGGAGGGCAAATCAACACAGAAGCCCCACCCAACTGCCCGGTCCCCACCTGCCACGCCCTTCACCATGGGGTCCCAGCACCCTCCTGTTCTGAGTAGCTGAGGGACTAAATGCCCTTTGCACCCTGGGCTGTGTATGTGTTCACACACCCCCATGTCCCGCTAGAGAATCTGACATTGGTGATCCCCTCCGTTTCTCTTCCCCTACCTCCCCCAAGGAGAGGGGGGTCCTGGGGGTTGGCGGTCAGTCTGCACGGTGGGAGCTGGGACCGCCAGAATGCCAGCTATGGGGCCTGGGCCTAGAGAAGGGGTTTTGGGGTTTGGCCCCCGGAGAGGCCCTGGAGCAGCCAGGCAGGGAGCGGGGGGCAAAGTAACTGAGGAGGGAGGGAGGGGACTCTAGGAAATGAGGTGCCCTAGAACGTTCTTCAGCGGGTGCATACAGTTGGAATTCCTTTCTCCCTTTGGAAGCTGAACGTGTTTCTTGGAGGTGTCACTGCTCCGAGACAGAGCTCCGTGGACCCCTAGTTAGCAAGGGTTTTGCACATACACCATGTCTTCAGGATCACCCAAGTCAGGGGAACAACGCAGGGCAGGGAGATGCTGGAGACAGATGTTCCCCCGGACAGACCAGGAGACGTTCTCGTATCAGGCCCCTGGGCTGTGGGAGGTCAGATGCTCATGGAGATCTGGGCAGGGGCGGGGGGGGGGAGCGGATGATGCTGAGTCACAAGCTGAAAGTGACTCGCTTCTTGTAACATGTTCCCTCCCGTGGGCAAATGTGGGGTGGCAAACAGATGCAGGGAGAGTAGACCCGGGCCTCCCTCCCCACAGCATCTCTACTGGAGCCGGGAACAGAACGCTGTGATCAGGAGTCACACTGTCCCCTCACACAACCCCTCGCCTATGGGTTGTATCTCAGGGTCAGCCCCTTCTAGATGGCGGTGAGGGGAGTGCACAGTGGGGACAACCTCACAGCCGCCTGGCTCCTGGACCCACCTGAGGGGAGCAATCGTCTCGGCTAGCTCCTTCCTCACAGAGAGAGTGGCCCCTTGGAGTTCCAGTCCTTCCCAGGAAGGATCTCGTGTTCTGGGGGCCTGGTGAATCTGGGCCATCAATTCCCGGGAGGAAAGCAGATGCCCTGGGTTCCCACCCACGAGCAACTTCGGGGCCTCCCCGCCCACCCCAGGCGTGCGGTCCTGATGGCCTGCGCCCATGAGGCGAGGCTTTGCACCAGAGTCCACAATCTGCCATGCCAGCATCGGGTGTCTCCTCGCCCTGCCGCCCAAACTGCTTTGTCAGACCTTGTGTTGCGAGACTGGGAGGATGGGGGTGCTTGGGGGGCAGTGCAGATGGAAAACTTCCTCCCAAAAGCAATTCTTCTGCAACATTCCTGGGGTGTCCAGATAGACCCAGGCGGGGGTCCCCTGGATCCCAGCAGAGGGCAGAGGGCAGAGGGCACAGGCTGAGTGGGTGACTGGGGAAGAGCTCCATAAAGAGGTTATGCACAAATGTTCTGGAAGATTCTAAGGGAACCACGGGGAAAGTGCTGAGCCCTGGGGCTGGAACATTTGGAGATTTTGTTACCAGGCATGAGGGGTGAGGGGAGAAAGGCTGACAGAGACAGAGACTGAGGGGCAGGTGGGGGGACACCTTGTGGCGCTAACCACTGTGGGCAAGCGCCTGCGGCTGCCCAGGGTGGACATGTCTGGTCTGAGTCCCAGGGCCTGGCCTGGCCTCACTGGAGGAGCAAATGCCGATCCTCAGCCGCAGTCAGACAGAACCAGGCCAAGTGGAGCCCCCAGGGCCTGAGGCTTGGGGAGAAGGTAGCAAATGCTCCGTAAGCAGCAGGGAAGGAAGGACCAGAAGCTTCTCTCGTTCACTGCCACACCTCCAAGTTCAGAAGTCCCCCCCACCCCCACCCACAGGTGCTCTAGAGGCATATGCAGATATGAGGGAACGCAGCAGAAGGGTCCCAGGCCTTCACAGAGACCCCTGGGGGGGGGGGAGTCCTAGGAGAGCAGAAGGCTGCCTAGCGCCCCCCACCCCCTGCACCTGACCTGGGTGCTGGGGGAAGGGGACAGAATGGCACGGCCAGGCCATTCTGCCTTTTGGGGAGATCTGTCACATCTCTGGAGATGAAGGCAGGATGGGTCTACTCTCTTCTGTTCTGTAACTCTGCCTCTGAAACCTCCGTCTGGAGGGAGGGGGGACAAAGCCATTGCTTGTAGAGACAAAGAAGTGGCTTGTGGGTAGGTTCAGGGCTACGCTGTGTGGGGAGAGGCCCTCCTGCTCCCACCTTCCCCAAGTAAGCCCCCCTTCTCTCCTCCTTCACACTTCTGAACTTGGAGGTGTGGCAGTGAACGAGAGTAAGCTCATCCCAGGAAGGCCAGGTTGGCTCAGATGTCCCCCCAGGTTATGACCCATGAGACTTCTCTCATGTAGCATGGATCCCCCCGTGTAAGAATGTGGAGCAGGCTGGTGACTCCGTCATTGTAACCCAAGCCCACAGGTCACAGGGCTGCCCCCAGGGCTGGTGGGCGCACCAGCAGGCAGCCCCTGGGGATCCAGGCATCTGGCCACTGCAGCTGACAGGACCCTGGGCCGGGCCAGGGCATCACCCGGGTGCCCTCCCTCAGACTGTGGCTCACAGCTGAGACCAGGCCATGGGAAGGAGAGTGTGGGCAACAAAGTCAGGGACCCAGAGCTGCTCTCCCAGGGAAAGTCACGCCCCAGGGAGCCCACTGGAGACCTAGGGACGCCAGTCGGTCCGGGGGGCTCCTGGCAGCCCAGCCCGTGGAGCGCCCGAGCAGGGGGCCGGGGACAGGTGATGTCAGCGTGGCCACCGAGGCTTGGCAGGGGGCAAGAGGGGCCACTCCACAGCCCAGTGCCAGAGTCCCAAGGCTGCCAGGCAGGGGGGCTGCCAGGGGGTGGCTGGCTAACTGTTGCAACAACGAGGGAACATTCAGGGACACGGTGGCCTGCTCATTGTCAGCTCCTCGTGCAGCCCGGGAGATGACGAGCCCACTGGGGAGATTCTGCACATATCTCTTGCTTTCCAGAAAAAGGGGGTATGTTTTCTTGAATGTTCCACCCAGGTGGGAACCCCCGGCCCCCATGGCCACCCCCAAGGATGTATGCGACCCAGCTCCTGTCCATTCTTAAATGCACTGACGGTCGTCTGACTCTAGCCCTTCCCCTCTACCTTCACCATCCACATCACCCTTGTTGCTGGCCCAGAGGGACGGCTATAACAGCCTGCTCACTTGTCCCCCTGATTCTGGCCCCCAGCCCAGCCCCCAAGCCCATCATCCCCTGTACCCACCTCAGGGACGCCCAAGAGCACTTGTTCACCCTGAGACTTAACCTCTGTCCTCAACACCGAGCTATGGCCACATCAGTTGCCCTTCCTTCCCTGAGGTTTCTGCCATGCTGTTCCCTCTCCCCCAGTGCCCTTCCACCCTCTGTGGGCAAATTCCTACTGGTTTCTTGAGACTTGAGGGTACCTCCTCCACGAGGCTATCCCCAGGCCCCCAATGGGCCTGCACCCACTCCCCTCCTGCCCAGGGCTTTCCTCTGAGCTTTGCTCTGGTCTGTGCCTTGCAAAAGGCACAGGACACAAGGTCCTGCCACGTAGGCAATGGGTCCCATCTCTGCTGTGTCCCTGGTGCCCTGTGCTCTCGGCGGTCCCAAGACTGGAATCTGCAGATCCTGGGCTCATACCTGCCCAGACAGGAAGCATGTTAGGGACAGACTCTGCCCTGCACCCTGCAGAGGGGGAAACTCAGACCTCAGGGTCACCAGCTGGGATGCGCTCTGACCTCCCGACCCAGGACAGCAACCCATCAGGTCTGTCTGGCTCAGCAGACAAGGGCGGGGGGTGGGGACCCGCCCGTGGCCCTGCCAGATGCCCCCTTCACTCCCACAGCAGGTGTCCTCTGGTATCAGCTGCTGTCACAGGCTGGGTCCCAGGGAAGGACTGCACCTGCCAAGTAGGCAGCAAATGCACAGGTAGGAAGCGCCGATGAGCCCAGATGCCCTTGGCCCCATGCTTTATTAGAAGGTCATTCCTCTTTCTCTCCCTCCTAATCACCTGCTGTGCCCAGCCCTGGGGCTCAGGGGACACTGCTGAGATGCCAGCAAGAGGAGGACTTTCCTCCTCCCCTAGGGCGAGCAGCTGTGGCACCCCTCCCTCATCCAGCCTCACCCTGCGACCTCTGCCCTGCACCCGGCTGCCCTATTTGGTGGTCACTCCCAGAGCCTGCAGAAGAGAGGGGTCAGCTGTTGGCGACAGACCCACCCAGGGAGCTCATAAAACCGACAGCAGGCCTGCTTGGGGGCCCACTCAGGAGCTTGGGGCCAGGGCCCAGCTGTGGTTTCCAACACCCACACAGGAAGGCGAGTCTGAGATCCCCGTGGGGCCAAGGCCTCCCCTCCCTGGGCCCAGAGCAGCTGCCGTGGAGATCAGACTGGGGTCAGGAATGTAGCGGGGCAGCCCCAGGCACTAAATGGTCAGGGGCTGGTGACTGGCCTCACTGTAAAAACACGGGGTCAGAAGACTTTCTCTCTCCACGCACTTTACTTGGGCCTAAAGAGTGAAGGCACACCCCCAGCCTGGTATTATGGGTGGGGACTCGGGCCAGCCCACCAGGGTTCAAATTCTACCGCGGTCCCTAACATGCTCCCCCCACAATCTCCATGCAGGTTTTTCCAACAATAACATGGGGGTAATGAGGAACCCCAACTCCTGGTGAGCATGGGATTCTTGGTAAAACAGGGCAGTGTGGGGCCCAACAAACTCCAAAAGGTATTTCTTGATTCTAATCATCCTCCTGGCCTGAAGCCCCAGTGGCTAGGTCTGGGACAGGACACTCCAAGCAGGGAGCGGAAGGAAAGAGGGCATGAGGAATGGTTCCCAGGAAAGGGCCCTGCTGAAGCCCCCCTCCCTGCCAGCTTGTGATCCACAGAGGGAAAGGTGGAGTGACATCACTGAAGTCCCTGGCAACCCACACAGCTGGGCGGAAGAGGGAGCCCCCTCCCCACGTGCAGGGAGGAAGGTCTCTCTCATCTCAGAGCACCAGGTCCCAGCATGCCGCAAACCACGCCAGGACAGGATGGCCCACTCTTTACATTCCAGAAGGTTCTCTTAACAGAGAGCCCCTGCCCCGGACTGTGTCTATGCAGGTTGCTTCACCTCTGGGCCCCTCATTTTCTTCATCTGCACGTGGGGACGTCAGTCACCACTCTTGTCCCCAGGGCTCTTTGCACTGGGGACAGCTGAGGGACTGTGGAGCTCTGGGCCCTATGCGCCCCTGCTGGCCAAGCGGGGTATGCAATAATCGTGTCCACGGGGACTGGCTCGAAAAGTGAGCATGTAACCCGAACCAAGCCCATAGGACCCTCCAGGAGAACTTCTGGTAGGCACGGGGTGGGCTGTGGGCGGTGAGGTCAGTGCCAGGGAACTACGCGGGAGCATATTCCAAGCAGTGAGGGGAGCTGCAGGACCGGGCGGGGCTAGTGTGTGAGACGAAGGGAGGCACAGAGATGACAACAGAGAAAGCAACGGCCCCAGGGTACACCTAAGCCCTGGGGTGGCCTTGCCTGCCCCTGCCCAGAACGAGTTTAGGCTTGTCTGACTTCTGCAACTGGAAGACGCCTGGTTGACCCAAATCCCTTTGTCCTAGGCAGAACAGATTAAGGAGAGATTCCTGGAGGAGGTGTTCAGGATGATGTGGAAAGAGGCGGCCCACGCCTATGCCTTCAGGAACATTAATAGCCACTGACTAGACACCCCTGAGGCCCCGAGGGAGCAGCTCAGGATGGGCTGGGCCCCAGTCACACCCCCAAGGGCACCCTATCCAACAGGGAAGGCAAATGGAGTCAAGGAGAAAACATGATAAATGCCAAGACACAGATGGAAAACTCAGGAGGCTGGGGGAGGCGGGGCAAGATGGAGAGGGCCCTGAGGGCTTCCTGGAGGAGGCAACCTTCAGTTGAGTCAGTAATCTGAGGTGACAGCCGGAGTGAGCTAGGTGCAGTGACGCCAGGATTTCAGGGTACGGAAGCAGAGCTGGTTGTGGAGGGGGAAACCACTGAGGGGAGTGACAGGACCCCCAGGGGTAAAGTGCATGGTAGGAAGTGGCATGAGACGCAAGAGAGCCTAGCTCCAGGCTCCGCACCAACCAGGACAAGCTTGGCCGCTCCTGCTGCTTGGGAGCCAGGCATCGCCTGTGCTTGAGTGCCCCCTGGTGGTCACGTGGAGGAAGGGCATGTAGCGGTCACAGCCAGTGGAGAACCCCCAGAAAACACACACACACCAGTGTTGGAATCCCCTCTGGCCAGCAGTATGTCCCTCTCCTGAGATTCTAATGGACCCCGCACCCCAAGACCCACTGCCGGTGCTCACTGGGGAGCCCCCAATATGTCAGGGTCTGTAGCTCAGGTCCTGTCCTCATTGGAGGTGTCTGGGCTTGGCCCGAGTACAGGCCTGGAGAGGGTGCATGCAGGGTGTTCCCTCTGACCCTCTGGGTCAGCCTGCTCTCAAGCCAGGGCCTCTACCCAGGTTTTCTAAGTGTTACTGACAGACCCCGTGTGACCCGCAGAGACCCCCTGGGCCGGGTGAGCCCCAGGATGTCAGCAGCAACTCCAGGGGATCCCTATGTCCAGACACGGTGGCCCAGCCCCACGTGGGGCCAGCCTGCATGCAGGTGGCTTCCTCCCGGGCCCATCCCTGTGGTTTCTGGGCCCTTCTCCCCACCCCCACCCTATGGTCTCAGCATAGGACTTCCTGTCTGCACCTGCCTTGGGCCAGGCCAACAATGGGGAGTCAGGAGCTCATCTTAGGCCATTTCCCGCATGGGTGGGGCTTTGAGATGTGCTCTCCACCCCAGAAAGGAACATCCCTCACCCAAGCCCCCCCGGGAAAGTGGCCATGAGGCTAGGGACCCGGGGCTGACTGGAGGTGGGTATAGTCAGGGACCTGTGGCACCCTATCCTGCCCCAGTGTGGAGGGGCTGAGCCTGGGAGCCCCTCAACACCTTCGTTCACCAAGGCTCGTGAACGGCACATTCGCACCATGCTGGGTCAGCAGCCAAGTCCCTCCCCAGTCGCGGGGCCTCTGTCCCAGGCCCGGGGTACCTGTCACTCCCGTTCCAGGCACATTCAAACTTGTCAAAGATGCAGTCGTTTTCATACAGGGAACAGAGCTTGCTCCGAAGGTAATCATGGACCTAGTGAGAGAAGGTGCAGGATGAGCTGGGGCGGGGTGGGGGGATCCTGGCCCTGCACCCAGAAGGGTCTCCCCGAGGGTCCAGATGGCCCTCCCAACTCAGCCCCACTCACCTAGAAGGCCCCACAACCTGTCACGGCCGATCCCTGAGCTGTGGCCAGAGAGGGGACAGTCACCATGACAAAGGGAACCATACTATAGGGACCAAATCCCGGCTCCACCCCTGCCCCTGCTGTGTGATCCTGGGCAAGTGACTACACCTCTCTGAGTTTTGGTTTCTTCCTCCCTTGAGTGATAAAAGCACAAAGCTCATGGGCTGTTGTGGGATCAACCCGAGGAGACTGCCTAGTATAGGGGTCCTGTCCTCTGAGGACAGTCACCATGAGTACAAATCATGGAAGAAAGGGGAGGAGGATGCCCAAGGGCCTCTTGAACACAAGCTCAGCAGGCATCACCTGTCCTGTTTTGGGGATGAGGCACTGCCTCTCAGAGAGGGTGAGTAACTGGTCCAAAGTCACACAGCCTATAACTGGAAGACCAGGACCCTCTACCAGAGTCACCTGCCACCACGGAAGAGATGGTGATGTCCCTGTGGCCCACGTCCACCTCCCAGCAGCCTGATTCCACAAGTTCTACACCTAGAGGGCCTCATGGGGGCTTGCTCCCTGCTGGGGATGGGGTCCTGCCCCCTGAGTGGGGCGAGGGAGTGTACAGCGGTGACCCAAATCCCGAATGCCTGTGTGACCCAGTCACTGAACCTCTGTGAGCCTAAGGCTTCCCACCTACAGAGGGAGCGGTGAGACCCTCCAAGCAGACAAATGGGGGCAAAGCACCCTGATCAACTCTGGAGGGACAGACAGAAATACGTGCTCAACTCCTGTTGGGCAGTGACTCAGGCCACAAGCCAGGGGTCAAGTGTGGGGGGGGGGAGAAGAGGGAAGGGGGGAAGGGAAGGGAGGGGAGAGGAAGATAAAAGGAGGTGTTCACCCTTTTCTGTCTAGGAAGTTCTTACTCATCTTTAAAAGGAAGGGTGCCCCACTGGCCGCCTCCCTGGGTCCCCAGGCTGAGCCGTCTTGTCCCCTCTGGAGTGTTAGGGGTATCTGCGGCTCCTGTCCCAACTTTCTGTGTTCGTGCAGACCCCTTCCCCCTCCGAAGGTTCACCCTAGTCTCACACAGTGACTTCCCCGCCCGCCCAGGAAGGGGGCTCCACAGCCCTTCCTTCCCCACCCCTGCCTGGACTCCTGTGTGCTCCTCTCCATCCTCTGATGACAAAGCACACAGCAGAACATCCAGCTGCCAAGGGGATGGCAAGAGGCCCACCGAGGCTGCCTACCACTGAGCCCCCGGTCCCCCCAGTGTTCCCCATCCTTCCCCATACAAAGGCCACCACCAACAGCATCCCTCCCCACACCTCTTGTCCGTCCCACCCCTCATGCCGCTGGTCCAGAATCCAGAGAGATCCAGAGCCCAGACTCTTCTCACCAGGTCCAGTGCTGCTACCTGCTCCAAGGCCACCTCCCAGATCACGGCAAACGCCTCCTGACCGCTCTCCCTGTGTTCTCCTGTGCCTGCCAGCCCCAGTATCTCTCCACGGGCAGCCAGGGAGACCCCTAAGAAACCAAGCTGGATCGTGCCACGCTGCTGCTGAAGACCCTCTAGGGCTCACAACCCCCCTGAGCTCTGCCCCCAGTGACTTCTCTGAACTCAGACTCTTCTCTTCCCCTGCTCATACTGCTGCTCCAACTGGCTCCCCACCATTCCTGGGCCACACCAACCATGAGCCTGCCTCAGGGCCTTTGCACTTACTGTTCCCTCCTCTGGGAGCACCTTCCCCACAGATGGCTGATGCCCTCACCTCCCTCAGACTCTAGCACCCCTACTTTCTTTGCCTCAGCCTCTGGTTTGCTTTATTTGTCACACTTCTTGCAGACTGTGATTATTGTGTCTATTTGCCTGGTTTCTGGCCATCTTTCCTGTAGGAATGGATGCCCCTCAAGGCAGGATCTGTCTTGTTCCTCACAGTTTGCCAGTGGGGTGCACAGGGCCTGGTACATCACAGGAGCTTGGTGCACTTTTTAGAATGAATGAGTGGGTTAGAAACTCAACTTGTGGCCCTCCAGATGCCGCAAGGCTCTGGGTCTGGGGAAGGGTGTAGTGGGGAGAGGATGGGCTTGCATCCCTACCCAGAGGCTCAAAGGAGAAGGCTGAGCCTTGCATTGGGCTGAGAAGGAGGCCGAGAGGCAGAAAGAGGGCCCAGAGGGCTGTGCTACGGGACCCAAGAGAGGAGGCCAGGGTGGGGTGGAAGGACTTGTGCATCTCCAAGACCTGGAAGGAGGGAAGCAGAGGGCAGGGCTCTCTTAGGCAGCCCCCCAACCCCAGGTGAACATGGGGGATGGGGACCCTGCATGGCCAGGGGAAAGACGGCATAGAGCCCAGCAGAAGGAATCATGCCAGACTGCCCCTGATGGGACACTGGCCTGCTTGTGAGTCCCTGAGAAAAAGGGGAAGCTGATGCAGGAGGGCCCCGCTGTTTCTTTCACACAGGTGCTGGCCTCAGGGAGCCTCCCCCTCCTAGTGAGTCCCTACCTGTGGCCACACCACACCAAGGCTCACTGTGTGCCTGTTGTCCAGGACCCTGGAGGGTGAAGCTGCGGCTCCTACTTCTCTCTGAGCCCAGGGCCTAGCCCGGCACAGAACACACCTGCCGATTATGTGTGACAGCTCAGACGAATGGGGATAAATGGTGCCTAGCTTCCTGCAGGCCACAGACAGACTCCCAGGGGCCCGTGTTCAACGGCTCCAGGTCTGCTCTGCTTTGTGCACTCTGCTCCCTGGGAGGTCCCAGCAGCCTCACTGATGCACTGGTCCCAGCCCTGACATGCACTGTTCTCCCTCTCCCCGTCCTGCAAGGTCAGCACGCCCAGCCCTCTGGTGGCGGAGCAAGGAAGAGCGTGGGCTCTGGGGAAAGCCCTATCAGGTGTGGGCTTTGCCAGCTCTCCTCCTGCAGATACACCATTTAATTCCATTTTCTCCAAATAAAAGGGATCAACAGAACACTGGCCCCACTTTCCTGGACAGCCATGAGGCTTTAGGAGAGGAAAAGTGTGCCAAGGACTAAGCTCAAGGCAGCGCATGCTGAGGGCTGGCTCATGCAACACCCATCCCCAACCATCCCTTCTCCCCTACCTTCCTCAAATATAGAGGCCGTGAAACTATTCATTCCCCAGCCTGGTCACAGACCCATTTCAGCCAACGACCTTATAAGAAGTCTTCTGAGGAGTGTTCTGGGAAAGCGTCTGTGCTCCCAAGAAAATATCCAACAGACCCAACCAGTACAGACTTTCACATCCTTCCTATCTCCTTCCTGGAATGAAGGCATAGTTCCTGAGGTGTGGCAGCCATTTTGCCACCATGAGGCATTGCACATGAAGGCAGGGAACGGATATACAAATGACAGTGAGCCAGATCACAGAAGGAGCTGTTGGGATTCCAAGGAGGTCCTGGAGCCACTCGCTGTTCCTGGATGCCTCCTTCAAGACTTCTTCTGAAGGGAGAGAAGTCCCTATGTGTTCAACACTGAGAGTCAGCCAACCACAAATGAGCTGAGCACGACTCTAGAGTGTAACAGCCAAAAATGTTAGTCACTGTGTTGGTTTTATGTAACTATTGTCATTTTAGAATCAGTAGGCCAGCGGGCTGGAAGCAAAGCACCCAGCTCTCAGCCTTGTCTCCAGGATAGTCTCCTCCCACTTTAGTGGGCCCTCACATGCTCTGAGGTTCTCTGGAGGTTATGGGTGCTCTCCCTGCAAGACGCCTGTATTAAACATAGCACCTAGTTTCAGGGTCTGTGGGCCTTTATTGACTCCGGGCCTCGGAAGGCTGAGGGCCCCCGTGGACCTCGAGACAGTCATTTCCCAGCCTGGCTCTAGGAGGGGCTGGTCACTCCTACACCTGAGCTGGGACTGGGTCATGTCTGCCCCAATCTCCAGACTCTGACATCTCCTGAGGGTCAGAGGAGATGCTGATCCCTCCCTGGGGTGGGCAGTGTGAAGAGAGGCCTGGGAGACAACCGGAGGACTGGGCAGGACCTCCAGTAAACACGTGGCTCGCAATGGGGCTGCCACCAGGAGCCGTGACAGACCTTCCATGAGCCCTTCCCAGGAAAGGGTAGAAGCTCAGGGAAGTGTCTGAAGGGATCAGATACACCTGTGGGCGTATGACCTCCAGACTGAGCTCCCGGTCTCTCCCTGAAGCGCTGTTCCCTTCCCAGTGAGCCCCACCCCCCAGCCTCCCAGGACACCCCTTACCCCAGGCCCCAGCAGGGAGGGAGGACAGGAAAGGGGCTGGAGGGCTCTGCATCCATCATCATCCAGCTGCAAGGCAGGTCCCAATAGTCCTGGCCTTTTGGCACCCAGGTCCCCTTCCTGCCCAGTAGAGCTGATGGCACTCCCTTTGCGGGGACAATAAGGAACAGAGGTAACGAACAGAAGTGCGTGACCCCCTGTGGACACCTAGTATTTGGTGACACAGTGAGGGTTTGCCTGGGCTTCTGGTGGAGACTTGTTCTAACATCCCATGAATTTTGTTTTCTACCTCTAAGAGATCTGGGTAGCTCATAACACAAAGCTGATGGATAACGCCTTTCGGGGGGGGGGCGGTTCCCCTGCTTCAGCTGAAGTGCCTGGTTTCCATGGCTTGTGGCTAAGGATCTAGAAACAGAGTATGCCCCCTATCCCAGCCCCACGCTCAGGAGGGGTACTCCCCAGGGGGTAGGGGGAGGGCAGGGCTTCTCCCGCCTTAACCTGGGCTATAGACCCGGGCTCCGAGGAAGGACCACATCTGTACCTTTAGTCACCTGAACCCTCAAACTGTGCCAAGGCTGATGCTCACCCTTGTTCCCCTGGGCTCCGCATCACAGAGGCTAGCAAGTGGACAGCACCCACTGATCCCGCGAGACAGGACTGAGCGCACGCTTCTGCTCTTGGCCGAGCTAGGGGCCGGGGACGGACTGCCTGATTTCCTAAGCCTTACTGTCTTTGCCTCCAGTACGGGGATATGAACGCCACCACTGCAGCCAGGGATGTCCCCTCCAGGAGGGAATTCCAGGCACAGCGGATGGAGGCTGGGAGGGGCTTCGGTCTGTCTGGGCTGCAGCTCCTACCTGGTAGGTCTCTATGGGCCTCGCCTCCATGTTCAGGTCCCAGACTTTGACCGTGAGATAATCCCGGGTGAGCATGTACCGGCCACTGTGGCTGAACTTCACGTCTGACACAGAGGAGATGATCTCGGAGAAGAAGGAGCGGTTACTGGGGTCCTCGGGCTCTTCGAATACTGTGGAGACAGAGAACAGATGGCCATCACCAGGCTGCTCGGCCCCATGGGCCAGAATAACCGACGACTCTGTTTCCATCCTGGGATCTCGCTGAGTGGTCCTTCCTTCATTCATTCATTCATCAAACCTGTAACTGACCACCTGTCAGGCTGGGGGCCTGAGCGACCTTCCGAGAAGGGAAGGAGCAGCTTCTGGAACAACGGTTATTGAACATCTAGTCTCAGCCAGATTCTGTGAAGAGCCCTACTGCACATTACCTCATCTAACCGCCTGATAAAAACGTCTGCTCAGTCCCACTATCACTCCCATTTCATCGCCAGGAACACTGAGGCATCAAGGGCTAAAAGCCACGCTCCAGACCCTGAGCTAGAAGAAAGCTTTGGAGTGGGGATTTGAACCCAGAGCGGCACTGGCTGTGGTGTACTCTGCTGCCACCTACTGGTGATGCTGAGCGCCAGGACCAAGAGGTGTCCTAACATTCTTACACACACTGGGCAGTGTCCTGGACAAAGCTGCGCACTGCTTGTGGCCCCGGACCTCTGCCCATGCGGCACTGAGCGGTCGCAGCTGAGCCCTGGTGGCAGGCACGTTTGGTTCGGCTGCCGCGGAGATTGTGGCAAAATCACATCTTGCTGCCCACATGGAGCTGGCGTCCCAGGTGCACTCTGCCCCCCACCTCTTATGGTCTCAGACCACATGCTCCACACAGGAAGCTGCTTACATGGCTCCTGAAGGTGACAGCTTGCTGCCCCTACCGGACCATCCCACTGGGGGACAGAAGGCCCAGTGAGTGGCTCCCCAGGCAGCGCCCCCGCGCTGCTGTCCCTGAGAACCGAGCCTTCCTGACACAGAGGTTCCCACACAGCAGGACTAGCTCTTCGGGACCCAGTCTGTTGCTGGCTGTCTCACCAGTTTGCCCACCAATGTCCTTACTGGCTAATCGGATCCCACGGTGGCCCTGGGGCAGGGTGGGGACCAAACTTGACCAAGCATCGTCACCTTAGCTAACCAAGCTAACCAAGCATTAGCTCCATAAGAGCTGGGCTGGGCCCGGGGAGCTGGAAAGAGGATGTAGTGGTGGGCTGACAGCTATCTTCCAGCCTGTCTGGAAGGAATTAAACATCTGACAACCTTTCCAGCTGTCCCCATGGAAACCAGCCGAGTGGCTGCTCCTTCTGCTGGCCCCCGAGCCCCCAGATCTGAAATAGGGAAGCCGAGAGCTGATCACATGTCCTGAGAGGCTCACAAGCATGCCCTGCCTGCCAGCCCCTCCCGATCCCAAAGTCCCCCATCCTACTTCCTAGCTTCATCCCAGCCCCATATCCCGCCATCCAGGACCCCGATCTCCCTCCTGTCCCAGGCAGATGCCGTTCCTTCCACGAGGGGTCAGAAGAAAATATGAGTTCTAAAGATATAAAACGTCGTCTGCCTCTTTCACCCCAACTTTGCACCCCAGGTCTACCCTGGAGGTTTCCTCTGGCCAGCCTTCACCCAAACCCCCAGGGGTGGTCCATCTCACTTCACCCCTGCACCGGGCAGAGCAGAAGCAGGCTGTGCAGGGTAGGTCGGCAGGGGGCTGGGGGGGGTACCAAAATCGCAGAGGAGTGTCTGCACTGGATGTCACAGAGCCATGAACCATGTCCCCTGCCAGCTTCAAGGAGCAAGACACCATAAAGGTCAAAGCCTGAAAGGATGCTCTAATCGATAGTGAAGACAGAAACACCAAATGGCCCTCTGTCACCTCAGCTCTGGCTGCACGTGGGCATTTCTGATGACTCTTTAAGCCCAAGAGGACCAGAGCTGCACGCAATGACTGGGAAGGGACACTGACAGGTGTGGAAAGATTATACATAGGAGTTCTTTTTATTTTTCACACATTCCTGTGAAATGTTTGAAACCACTATTTTTTTTTTTGGCAAAAGGTTGCCGAAGGTCATCTTCTGTGTCGATCCCTGTCCCCCTCCCCCACCCCTGCCTCGCCACCACAGGCAAGCCGCACGTCCCCCCAGGGCATTAATCACAGGTAAGGGAGTCGCCCCTCTAACTGACAGAATCACTCAGGACATTCACAGTAATTACTGCTACCAAGGGTTTACAGAAATGCTCCCCAGAGCCCCTGTCACTGTGATGGGCTCAATCCCACCTCTCCCCCGCTGCCCTAATTATTTTCAGGTTGGAGGACTCTGAATCCCCAGAAATGTCTTACTTCTTTTTAATGATTTTGCATAATTAAGACTCCTGTGGCCCCGGCTGGTTCCCTGACAAACACATCCTCCTGTCTTGGTGTCCCATGGCATCGCCTCTGGCACATGGTGGGGAGGGGGGAGAAGCCCCCCACACTCCCCAAAATGAGGCGAAGGTGTCCTGGGGAGCCCAGCTCTGCACCCAAGGAATGGGAAAGTGAAGTCAGAAGCGGCGCGATGACCTTCCTCTCCAGCCTCACACGCAGCTGATGATGTTGCTCTTGGTTAAAGCCCTCCATGGCTCCCACTGCCCACAGGACCAAGACTCAGACTCCTACAAGGAGCTTTCCTTCCTAATGCGGCCCTCACCAACCTGCTTCTCCAGTCACCCTCCAACCTCCTTTCTGCCAGGGCCGCAGTGCCTCAAAAAGGGTGAGCCAAGCAAGGCCCATAGGGTTGCACACTGAACAACTCACCATCTGGGTCACCTTAAATGAATGCCTTTCAGTGCCCTGCCCTCCCGAACCAGGCAGCACAACAGAGCAGAGTTCTACATGCCCATAGGCAAGCCCCTGGGCCCAGCTTCCCTGGGCTGGAGAACAAAGCATGATGGGACCTCTGGAAGAAATAACTGGGAGTTATTCATTATAAAACTGCTCAGTTTTGGGGCGCCTGGGTGGCTCAATGGGTTAAAGCCTCTGCCTTCAGCTCGGGTCATGATCCCAGGGTCCTGGGATCGAGCCTCACATCGGGCTCTCTGCTTAGCAAGGAGCCTGTTCCTCTTCTCTCTCTGTCTGCCTCTCTGCCTACTTGTGGTCTCTGTCTGTCAAATAAATGAATAAAATCTTTAAAAAAAAAAAAACTGCTCAGTTTTACTGAGCAGTATCTGCTCAGTAAAATTGTGTGGCTATTTTTATAACATTTTCTCATTGTTTTCTTTTCCTGAAATCTCCGTTCCCAGTTTTAGTTCTTGTCCTCCCTACCAACTCCTATACATCCTTCCGAACCCCAACTCGAATGCCCTATTCTATGTGTATCTTGTCCAGATATTCTCCAAAGAAACAAAAGGGTCACCCTTGCTGCCCGCACAGCCTGGGGTGCCCTCCTGTATGGCATCAGCAGGGATATGTTGTCACTTCATGGGACTGTGAGCTCTTGGGGCAGGGCTCCCCCCTCTGCTCTGATATTAGACAAGAATAGCCACGGAATGATGAGCACATGTCCAGGCTAGCCCCACCTCGGGCTCCAGGAGGAGCCCAGGCTAGCCTTGCTGGGCAGAGCTCCAGGAGGAGCTGGGAGGGGTCTGTGCAGCAGCTGAGGGAGAAGAGTTGGATTCTGGATCACAGGGCACCCTGGAGGACCGGAGAACTGGTGCATCTTCGAGGCCACTGTTGGGGTCAGGACCTCCTGCATGACTGCCTCCCTGCCCCTGCCCCTGCCCCCCAGCAACACCCCCTCCCACCGCCGGGAAGGTAGAAGGCATGCCCACTGGAGATGAGCAGGGCGTCACTACAAGGTGGTAGGCACAATGAGTGCTCGCTGGTGAAGAGTTGACAACTGTCATTCTCTGCTAATGACTGTCCCCTGCTTGGCAGGGCGGGAGTAGGGAGTAGCCGGGCCCTGCATGATCTACCCTCACCTCTCTGTCTTTGCACCCATCAGCCCCGCCTTCTCCCCACTGCAGCCAGACTCCTCTCACCCGCTGGGGCCCTCAGCCCTGCCTTCTGCCCCCTCTCTTCCCAGGCTCCTTGGCTCTCTTTCATTCTTTGAGGTGCAGAGAAGCCTCCTGGGACCACCTTAATGGAGAGCCAGCTGCAGCGGGGGGACACCCTCAGAAACTTTCCCCTCTTCGATGCTCCCATTTACTTGGCAGTCAGTTTGCCTATCTCTCCACTCAGCTCAGTAAGGGCCAAGCCAGCAGGCTGGAGCTTGCCTGGGGAGGCAGGACCTGACAGCCTTCCCTCCTCCACTATGCCCACCCTGCTCTGAGCATCAGCTGCCCCCCACCCTACTCCTACCTCACCCCCAGTTTATTCCCTGCTCAGCAGCCAGAGGGATCGTGTCCAACACAGCCAGGCTGGGTCACTCCCGGCTCAAACGCCCTTGAGGCTCCTGGTCTTTTGGAGGAAACCAGAACTCCTGCGTCTTTGTAAAGTGCTCTGATCGCGGTCCCACACACTTCTCTGCCCTCACCCCGCACATCTGCCTGCTTTGCTCTTGCCTTTGCACGGGGTCCCCTCTGTTGGAGACATTTGCCTTGGCTCTGCATCGATATCTGGAGCCGCCCGGCAGCGGGTGGCTGGGTCTGGTCTTTCTACCCCAGATCCATTATCAGGAGTGAGTCCTGGGAGTCTAGTCATGCCCCCACCCAGGACCCTTTCAATGAACCAGGCTCACCCACAGTACCTGTCAGAGTTCTTAAATCTCAGAGAAGATGAAGTGAGAAACGGTACCCATTTATAAGCATGGGACTCTGGGAGCCTCTATCCTAGCTCACCCTAGCTGAGTGACCTTGGGAGAACACCTTAATCTCTCTGTGCCGCTGATGTGGGGAACAATAATGACGCCTATAGACGTCCTAATCTCCAGAATGTGGCATGTGTTACCTCACATGGCAAAAGACTGCAGATGTGATTAGGGAAGGATCTGGAGATGCAGAGGTTATTCTGGATTCTCCAGGCCGCCCCACGGTAACCACCAAGGTCCTCGTGAGAAAGACATAGGAAGGTCAAAGGCAGAAGAGGGAGATGGAATGACAGAGCAGAGGGTGGCGCGCCTCACTCTGGAGATGGAGGGAGGGCCAGGAGCCATGGGAC